ACTCAGAAATCCTCCTGCCTCTGCCTCCAGAGTGTTGGGGTTAAAGCCGTGTGCCACCACTGCCTGGCGACATTGTTCTTAAAACTGACAAATCAATATGCTCTGTGTTTTTAAATTCTAAATTCTTTTTTAAAAGATTTATTTATTTATTTTATGCATATAAGTACACCACCATTGCTCTCTTCAGACACACCAGAAGAGGGCACCAGACACCATTACAGATGGTTGTGAGCCACCATGTGGTTGCTGGGAATTGAACTCGGGATCTCTGGAAGAGCTATTGGTACTCTTAACCACTGAGCCATCTCTCCAGCCCTAAATTCTAAATTCTTAAAAGGAAAGATAAATCTTAATTATGCCCGATGTAGTGGTGCTTGCCTATAACCCCAGCATTCATCCGGGGCAGGAAAATGACTTTGGTGTTCAAGGCTAGTTTTGGTACACAGTAAAATCCTATGTCAAAAGAGAAAAAAAAAAAAAAGAAAAGAAAGGAAGAAAGAAAGAAAGACAAAAAAAAAAATCTCAAAGTTACAAAAAAAATAAAAGTTGGTGATTCAAGACTCTCCAGACCAGGAAGAAGCAAACTACACTCTATATCTCAAATATTTGAGAGCTTGGAGACAGGATGTTAGGTGAAATAGCACAGGACTGAGCAAGAGAGAACAAGGGGATCCTGTTTGTACACTTCTGGGAGCACTGCCCCGTAACATGTATTTTTTTTCTCTCTCTGTGCTCATGCACACGTGCAAGTGCACGCAAGTGTGTATGTATGTGTCTTTCCAGCAGCAGCAGTATTATTATGCTGTGCAACCATGTTACCCAGGCTGTCTTCAAGCTCACGATCCTCCTGCCTCAGCTTCCAGACTGGCTGAGATTACAGGTGCTTGCTATGTTCTTTCTTGCTCACCTTATTGGTGCTGAGATTCGAACCCAGTGCCTTTCAAAAGGTAGACCAGTGCTCTACCAGTGAGCTGCACTTCTCGCCCATGCTAGCACATCGACGGCATCAGTTATAGGTAGAGATGCATGATTTGTTTAATTTTCTATAGGTGTCATATATAGGAAGCTTGGTTTTCCAAATGACTCTGCATAAAGTTTGAATGAAAAAAAAAACTCGTTTGGAATACTATGATTACTTAAGCATGTGTTTACAAAACAAGCCAGAAAAGTTGTGTGGTGAACACCTGAAATACCAGCTCTGAGAGGGTAAGCAGGAGGAACCAGATAGGAATGGAAGCTCTGAGCAGGGTTGTACACTGAGACACAGTGAAAATAAGCAACTCACAAACAACCGAAGGAAAGGAAATGGTGAAGCTCACAGTAAGGTTATGATAAGAAATGAGGGATGAGGAGTGAACTGACTACAGCTGTAAAAAATGCAAGATCCACATGCACAGTGACAAGCTCTGTGACAAATTGTGACAGAAGTCTTTGTCACAGGGCCCTGGAGGGAGCACAGAACCATACCATTTCAGGTTCCTAGGTGCCTTAAAAGGACTATAGGATTTTTTTTTTTTAAAATCAGAACATAGTTCTCATCATGGCTCATGAGAGGAAATAGATGACATTTTTCAGGGTTCTTGATTTTTATTGAAATATTTTGCTATTTATAGCCACTGTTCTTCAATGATGAAATTAAATCTAAACTCCGTCAAAAGTTTCCCAAGACGACTTCCGGCAAACGTTTAAAATAGAGTCTTTAGCCCCTATACAATAACTCTGAGATACCTTCACACGGCTACATAATTAACATTGAGGAGTAGGAGTCAATTCTTTTCTGCTTACTGATTTTACTGGGATAAATTAAAGCAGCAGCCAATTGCTGTTTAAATGTCAAGGCTAAATGTCACAGAAATGTAAGTTCAGTTCCTTTCCTATCCCAGAGCTACAGTAAGCCTCGGGTCTCTTAAGGACAGGAATGTGACCTTACCTGGGAGAGCTCATGACCATGACCTGAAGACTTCCTGCCACAGCCCTTGAGTCTATCCTCAAGCCCATATGGGAGCTGGTTTCCATTTCATTCTTGAATTCACACAGGTAAGTGGGTGTGTGTGTATGTGCTTAGCCCAGACATGCGTGGACACACCATCCAAGTCCGTTAACCTCGTTGCTCTGTTTTCTTTTTTTCTTATTTCCTTTGAAATTAAATAGTTCTTTACCCATTGGCCTTCATTGCTTAATAATTCAAAGACAGTGCTGGAAAGACTCGAGAACCCGGCTCCTCTGCATTCACTTCTTCATGCTTCAATATCCCTCTGTATGAAATGAGAATTAGAGCATCTGGCCCAACTCCACAGATGGCCAGAGAAATGCTATCTGGAAGGGAACTTAAATACTTTATGGTAAATAAGAGTGTAAGGATATTTTGGTTATAAAAAATAATAATAAAATAAGAAATCAAATGCAGAAAGTAAGTAAATAACAGAACAAATCAAGAATCTGCTACTAGCTCTCTCCCTCTCCCTTCCTTCCCTCTGTCTCTCTGTCTCTCACTGTCTCTCTCTCTGCCTCTCCCCCCGCTTAAACACACACACACACACACACACACACACACACACACACACACACGCACACTCAGACAATCTTTCAGTTCCATAGTGGTTGTGTATGTGTCCTGCCAAATGCTATACCATTCTTAGGACCCATATCAGAAGGAAACATGTAGCTTGTAATTCACCACTGAGAATTCTGACTCCCCTCACAGGCAGTCTACAAATGCTGATATTTGATGTGAGCACAAAGCCTCCTTTGTTCCGGCCCAAATTTCCAGCGATGTGGGTAGGCTCATTCTACCAAGGAATGCTATCAGATTCCCATCTGCTGACTTCACGGCAGGGAGCTTCTCACTATTTGCCTCTCCCTAAAACAGTGTGGAGCTGACAGCAAGCAAAGACCTTCCTTCCACAGCTCAAGCCAGAGCAGTCCTGTACTAGCTGAGAAGCAGTTAGCATTTGTCAGCTTCCTTTAAAGACTTGTGGCTCCTGATAGGGCAGGAATTGTTGGACAACATAAACTGGATTAGATGGGGGGGGGGGCACACCGGGGGGGGGGTAGAGAGTTGAAGATAGGTATGGGAGGAGTTGAGGAAGAAGTGAATGTGACCAAAACACATGGTATGAAATTCTCAAAGAATTAATAAAATGCTATTTTTAAAAATAGTGTGGCTGGGTGGTGCTGGTACATGCCTTTTATCCCAGCACTCTGGAGGCAGAGGCAGGCGGATCTCTGAGTTAGAGGCCAACCTGGTCTACATGGTGAGTTCCAGAACGGCAAGGGCTACGCAGAGAAACCCTATCTTGAATACACACACACACACACACACACACACTAAATAAAAGTGTGAAGCATTGACAATAAATAGCTGCCACCTATCAAAATGCACTGAGTATAATAACCTGGAGAGGCCTTTTCTGAGTACTGGGAAGGAAGGAAGGAAGGAAATCTGCCCTTGCCCTAGTAGAACGTGACAATTCTACGTTCTTAGATACAGATCTCAGGGAGATCCAGTTCTCCCTAAAGCAAAATGGTGTTTATCCTTCTGTTCCCAGGGCTCCCAGCCATAGGTTGACTAAATGAGTGAGCAGAAGAATGAGTCTTCTGAGAAAGATATTTCCGACTCCTGCGCTCAGCCGTAGGTATTTCTAGTTTCTCCACGGTCTGATCGCCACTGCTTAAATAAGGTGAAAGGGCAGACTCTGTTATCCAGACCGCTTAAACCTCTAGGACTTGGGGCACGAATAGTGTTTGGAAGGAAACAAAAACAATGTCTGCCAAGATACCTGGAAATTTTTACTTGACTCCATTAATCAGAATAAAATAGATAATAGCCTTTCGAGGAAGAAAATTTGGTGAAAAGTGAATCAGCTGAAGACTAGAAAAGGAGTGGAAATGGTATTTCATTTTGCTCTGTTTCAACTGTATGAAGTTCAGGCTACTCTGGCCAAAGAGCAAAACTTAAATATCGTTCCCAAGATTAACAGAGCATGCTGTTTGACACGAAGGGTGTGGGGATACACTATCCCCCTATCTTCTCACACTGTGAGCTCTGGGTCTCTTGAATTATTTCTAATTATATCACTCACACAACATTTTTAAGTAGAGGAATTTTCAAAATTTAACTTCATCTCATGACAATGAAGGGGGCTTGTTATTTTTGCCTTTTCTGAAAAAAAGAAAAGAAAAGAAAAAAAACTCAATGGAAAGTTCAAGATCTAAGACTACTTGTTCAAGAAGGATGAACATATTAGCTGTCCCTGTAGCTATGACCAAAGATACCTAATAAAAGTAGAAATATGCTGAGAACAAACATAATATGTCAAATGCTGTTTAAATTTACACACCAACACTAACCTAGTGGTATGGAAGATTCTAAACATCACAAATATTCATCCACTGGAGTTGTATTAGTTAGCAAAGTGATGATATCATCACATGACAAATAGCTTCTGGAAATTTCCACTGTAAACTCCAGGGGGGAAAAATGAAAGTAAAAGAGGTGAAACTTTGCATTGTTATCGTGGAAACAATTTTGACTCGGAGACATATTGAAAGTATTTTGTTGACAACCCAGACCTGGTGAAACACATCTAAGAACTCTGTAATTGTTTTAATTAATTTTTAGTCATGTGACAATGCAAATCACGAACAAAGTATATTTTCTCTGTTGAATACTGTGTTCTCATCCCTGGACCACCCTGCGAGAACAACTGACCGAAGGTAACTTCGGGGAGCCCAAGCTTCGGGTCTAAGTCCAAAACTCCCGTTGCGCCTAGGGTGCTCTGTTTAGCCGCCAAACTGTGAGCGTCCGGGTCGCGGTCGCATAGGACTGGGTACCGAGAGAGGGAGGAGGAGCGCAGCCAGGTGACACGCCTCTCCTCCCTGTCCCGCAGCGGTGGGAGTGGCCCCAGCACACAAGCTGGGCCCCGTGCAGCGCACGTTCCCTGAGCGCCCCTGCGCGGATCCTAAGCGCCTCCTCTGCGCGTCGGTGTCGCCTTGGAGCCGCGAAGAGTTAGGCTCCGACTGTCGCCGAGATTCAGACGCGTCTGCGACACAGGGCCAGACCACCTCGGGGACAAGCAGAAAACTCGGCTCCCGCCCTGGGGCTGGTGAAACATGTGCCGGGGGACACAGGTGCGGCGCCCGGCGGCGGGGTGGAGCAGGGAGGAGTGGGAGAGTCACCCAGAAACGATGCCTCGACGGTGGCATTCCAGCACCTAGCTGCCTGTCTGCGCAGGCGAGAGTCGCGTCTACCTGGGCCAGTGTCTGAACTCTCCTCCGCAGATTCCCGGGAGCACCTTCTGTTCCCAGGCACTGCGGGGGTGCCACCTGCCCAGAGCGCCTTGGGTCCTTTAGATTAAAAGTGGCGCGTGGAGTACAACAGGTCGTTGACTCAGTTCCTACTAAAACCCAACCAGCTGAGACTCGGGCTGCTTCCTTCTTTCTTTCTCTCTCCCTCCTTCCTTCCTTCCTTCCTTCTTTCTTTTTTTCTTTCTTTCTTTCTTTTCTTCCCTTCCTTCCTTCCTTCCTTCTTTATTTTTGTCTTTTAATGTATCTTTGTCACTTTTGTTTTAGTTTGACAGTTGCTAGACGATGTTTCCACTTCTGATCGTACTCAGCCAGCTGCCCAGACTTACCCTCGCAGTTCCTCCTTGTTCAAGAAGCCTAAAGGATTCCGAACATGCCCCAGAAGAAAGTAAGTAAGCATGGCTGCCGGCTGGGGGAAAACCCTTCTGAAACCAGAAGCGGTATACTGTATAGATCTCAAGCCAAAGTGTGGTGGTGGGGGATTACACGCCCCCCGTGAACCACAGAGCAACAGCATATCCTTTGTTTTAATTTGTGGCTTTCTTGTTTAGAGTTGTGGGTTTTTAACTATAATATGTAGAAACTTATCTCCCTTAGTAAACAGATGTTTAACACCTGGTTTGTGGTTAACTGAATTGAAAGCCTATTTTGAAGTCCGAAAATCAGTGAGTTGCCTTTTCCTAGATGAAGCTGTGTGTTAGTTATAAAGAGCAAGGCTCTTGGAAAGACTGACAGGGAGGCCAGACTCTTGTCAGGACTTGTTTGTGCATTTCTGGGAGTCCCCATGTAGACAATCGCTCTACCGCTGAGCCACATCCTGTCCCCTAGTCTAGTTTTGTGAGATCCCGAGCAAGGAACTCTACTCCCCTTAGTCTTGACTGACTTCCTCGGTAGAATGATGTGACTGGAAGGCAGGATGACCCTTCTGGTCATTGTGTAGATAAAGGCAGATGCTTGAGAGATTAAGTGTAGCTTGCTGGCCCAGAATTTTCGGTTACAGGTCACAAACGAATTGGTTCCTGCTTCCATTTTTAAAAGCCAAACCTAGCAAAACCAGAAGTGAGAAGGGAAAACAAACAAACACACACACAAACAAACAAAAACCACGAGGCTCTCCGCGTCCTTCTCCCGGCTTAGTCACTGGGTTTTGCCGCCAGCACCAGCACTTTGGATTCACGCACACATTCCTGTCCTCTGTTGTTCCTTATTCCCCTTTATCAGATCCAGTTCTCAGTTCATTTTCACTTGAGTAGGATCTGTTACTAATACTCCTGACGGACTTATCAATGATTGATGAAGTGTGCTCCCCTCACTCCGTGTTTGTGTGTGTGTGTGTGTGTGTGTGTGTGTGTGTGTGTGGAAAGGGCAATACTTTGGCCTAAAGGAATCACATTCTAATGGGAAAGCTCTAGGCAATTGGGGTAGACAAATTTGAAACAGAGAAAGGTCGTTAGAATGAAGGGGATCCTGGTGCTTTCTGAGCCACCCGTTATCTGTAAGTCCATTCTTCGTGATGGTCCATGCTCAGGTAAGACACAGATACTGATCTCTGGAATGGTTGTGAATGCATCCATCCACGTCACTGTCACAAACATTGTAAAATAATTCAGAAGTCAGAGCCAAGTGGAGAGGGCTACAGCTGTTTGTGGGAAATAAAAATGAGTCAGGAGCCATATTTTAGCACACATTGTGTGTCAGGCCCTCTGCTGGCTGCTAGAGATGGAGAAAGGACTCTCATTCTTGTCTTAGCCGAGCTTTTGCTCTGCTGGTAAACAGGCAGGGTAAACAGATACTCTCAGTAAGCTCAGTAACAGAAGTGGGACTGGAACAGAGGACCTGAAAGACCCGGTAAGAGTAAACAGTAGCTACTCATGCTGGGAGAGCTATGTGAAACACGGACAGAGCTTCCCATCTGCAAGTGAGACAAGACACATGGGAATATTAAAGGCACACTTTCCTTCCCCTTATCTTCAGTTGGTTTGTTTCCACCACCACCACCCTCACCCCTCCCCTGACACCTCCCAAGCTCCCACCAATCCACCCCCACAGATGCCTGAAATTTCAGATAGTACTGAAACCTATGGATAAACCTGGCATGCCACCAGACGCGGTCTGTTCAAAATGGCTGACCGGCCGGTAGCACATACACTGTGGATGCTGTGAACAAACGGTTGATTGGATTCTGGACAGAACTAAGTTGGACAGACAGGAACATGTTGCTCAGAATGCCGTGCGATTCTTCCATTCCATATGTTTAGGCACTGGTTGGCCTAGCGTAACTGAAACTACAAAGTGAGATTGTGAATCTGGAAGTAATTATTATTGAAAATGAGGTTGGAGAAGGGAACCCCCAGAGAGGCCTGCTAAAACTCTTAGGACACTGTTGAAACAGAAGGATCTCATTTAGGAAACATAAGAGAAGAATAGAATATCTTAGTAGTGCATTTGTAACAATGGACTGTGTGGACAGGCAACCTCTTAGGAGCATTCAGGAGAAGAGAAACATAGGTTCAAAAGCCATGTGTCCTCCCACCCCCCACAGTGGTCAAAGGGAAGGAAGGTAGCAGGCCTCACTGGGAGCCCTGAGCATTCCAGGGAAGTTTACTGCTTTCCAAATAGAAGCAAACTTGACAGTGTTCCTCCTGAGAGCATGAGAAAAGCAGGGGAAAATGGAGCTGGCCTTGAAGGTTATATATATATGGTCAGCCACTGACAGAGCTGACGCCTTCACACTCGGAGAAGTGGTGAACTGCAGATCCAGGAAGGCACATTTAAGTGAAAGGTCAGTTACAATGTCACAACTACTCATAGGTTATATTTATGACATTATCATAAGTATCATTTCAGGAAAAGTAAAAATGTTTATAGCTCTTTCTCTTTTGTCTTCTAATTAAAAGTAGTTTTAATAGTCTGGTGTGGTAGCACACAACAGCATTTAGGAGAATCTTTATGGATTTAAAGCTAGACTTGGGTACATAGTAAGTTTCACCTTAGGCCACCTTAGGACACATAGAAACACACTATCCAGAAAGAAAAGTAGTTTTACTGGGTCTCAGGGTAAGGTGGGTAGGTATTCTTGAGTCAGATGATAGACTGTCTATGAGAAAGTTGGCAATGATTCTTTTTACTTTGTTTTGCAATGTAAGATATGTCTCACTCTATAGCCCAGGCTATCCTACATTCATGGTAGTTCATCCTTGCCTCAGACTTCCGAGTGCTAAGATTGGAGTATGAGCCACCATGCCTAATTGGCACAGTCTCTTTAGCCAGTAAAATGTGAGAAGTAGGAACACACAGCAGGCTCCTGTGGTTGAGCTGGGCAGGCTCTAAGTCGCTTCCTCGCAGGTTTCATCTTTAACCCTCTACCGAGTTACACAAGCTTTCCCCATGAACGGCTTCTACCTATAGAACTTAGGTCCAAGTGTAAGAGCCAGAAAGATGGCTAAGAGCACTTCCTGAAAAGTCATGAGGACCTTTGTCTAGATCCTAACACTCTGCACATGGCTGTAACCGGAAACACTGAGTTGGTCAGACAGGATACCTGAAGAAGCCTTCTGGCTTTAGCCCGAGCAGGGAAAAAAAATCCCCTGGGTTTAGAGCAAAACCCTGCTTCAAGGGAAGAGGCTAAGAGACAGAAAGGACACCAGACGCCCCTTTCTGGCCTCCGTGCCTTTGTGCTCATACGCATTGCTGTGCATTCTTGTTCTCTCCCTGTCTCTGTCGCTGTCTCTGTCTCTGTCTCTCTTAGGTAGAAAGATAGGTAGGTAGATAGACAGACAGACAGACAGACAGACAGACAGATAAAAGCATATAGATCCCACAATTAAGAAAGGTAAGTTTGTTCACACTACAATTTTTTGGCTTCTCGTGTGCCAGGAACCAGCACCTCCCTTTTGAGGCCCCTTCTCACTAAAGCAGAGAACTTGGAGGCTGAAGCGGTGGCTCTGTGGTTAAGAGCACTTGTTGCTCTTGTAAAGGAACTCACATGGGATGTCAAAACGGTAATTCCAGTTCTGACACCCTCTAGCCTCTGAAGGAACCTACACATACACAGTACACATAGGCTCGCCTAGGCATAGATAATTAGTTTTTAAAAATTTTAAAGAGACAACATTATGGTAACAGATAACTAAGTGGACACATGAAAAGTAAGTTGTGGCTGAGTGCTGTCAGGAAAAGCAGAACATGGCAATATCTGCTGATGGTTAGGACAGAGGTCAGATTAACATTGAGCTCCATCCCAGGGAAGATGAAAGAGCAGACTAAAGAAGGAAGCTCCACTCCAAAACATCAGCAGACACACAGGAGGACCCAGTGTGGAGGAAGTGTACAGCTAGCTGCAGCAGAGCACAGGAGGAGGAGTGGAAGGAGCCTGGCCCAGAAAGGCAGGGGCCACAAAGAAGAGAAACACTGGGTCTTTTTTTTTTTTAATTTATTTATTTATTCACTTTACAACCCAGTATCCAGCCCTTCCTCTCCTCCCAGTACCCTTCCCCCATTCTGCCTTTTCCTTTTCTTTTGAAGAGGGGAAGCCCCTCTCTGGTGTCCCTTCCCCCATTAACCCTCCCCTCCCCCATCACTGGGTCTTTCTGAGGGCTTTGCCTTTTTTTGTGGAAGGATGGATTGCCATTAGGAGGTTTGGGTTATTGTTTTTTTCCTTTTTTATATAATTTTTTTTTATTACTCTTAAAGAATGCCATTTGGAAATTTCAAAAAGCCAAAGTAGGAAAAAAGGGGGTTGTTGTCGTTGTTTTAATCTTTTTATTATTTTCAGATAGGATCTAGATATATATCCCTGATTGGCCTGGAACTTGCCATGCGAACCAGGCTGGCCTCAAACTCACAGAGATTCACTTGCCCATGCTTTCTGAGAGCTGGGACTAAAGGTCTACCATACCCAGAAAAAGCTGTTTATAAATATATCTATATACGTAATATATACATATATATGTATAAATATATCTATATATGTAATATCATACATATAATATATACATATATGTACAAGGTCTCTCTGTGTGGCCCTGGATATCCTAGAACTTGCTAGGTAGACTTCTGCATATTGTCCTCTGACATCTATGAGCATGCCATGGCATGGGCATACCCACATATACATACACTTACATACAAACATACATTACATACACATACACACAGGTATTTAAAACTTTTTTATTTATGTATTTGTTTATTTATTTTATTTTTGAGACAATGTCTCTGCATTCCCCTGGCTGTCTTGGAATGCACAGAGATCTGCCTGCCTCTGTCTCCTGAGAGCTGAGACTAAAGGAATGCACCACCACTCCTAGCTAAAACGTTTCTTAGACAGACTCTGGCTGTTGTGTTAGCATCAAGTTGTAAAGGAACCAGGAGACCACTTACAAGCCACTGTGGGAGTGCCAATGAGAGGTGACAGAAACTTCAGAAAGTTACCATTTGACAGAGCAAGAAATTCCAAGAGGACAGGGAGAAAGAACAAGTGTTCAAGCATCCTGGCCTCTCTGCCTTGTGAGATAAAGCAACTATCATTAGTACCGCCCTTGGTTCCAACAGCCTGGATGTTGTTATAACAGAAAAACTGGCACTAGGACTAGGCCTGTGGCTCCATGAAAGAGTACTAGACCAGCATATGTGATGTCCTGGCTTCACTCTCCAGCACTGCCAGAAAAAAAAGAGTAAGAAATTAACACTCTTGAATAATAATAATAATAGAAATATGTGAATCACAGAAATGATTTTTTTCTAATAGGCATAATTTAAAAAGCAAAAAGAAGTCAGACATGGTGGTGTGCACCTTTGATCCCAGCAGTCCTGGGATTGTAAGTTGAAGACCAGCCTGATCTGCATAACAAGTTCCAGGCCGGCCAGAATTACATAGGGAAACCTGCATCAAAAATTAATTAATTAATGAAATCAAAAAATAAAATAACAAGCAAAAAGAAGTAGATGAGATAGATTTTAATGATGTTTTTAATTTTACCCAATATCTATAATGTTTTTGCAAAATATACACAATCTAAAACTTGCCTGTGCTCTTTCACATACTTTCCAATACAAAATTTAAAATTCTCTATATTTTATATTTGTTAGACTAGGTACTTTTCTAGTGCTTGGTAGCCATAAATGGAGAGGGACTTGTGCATTGGTCAAGAGCAATCTAGAAGATTCTAACCTACTTAGATAGTTAAAGTATAGAAAAAAGTCTTAGGTGAAACATGAGTATTCTTAAGAAATAATCATGGCCAACCTGAGATTACAGACCATATAAATAGTATTGCTGTCCCCTCCCTCATTTTTTGCTATCAGCCTTGCCGTGTGGGCCAGGTTGGCTTCCAGGTCAAGGTCCTGCCTCACCTTCTCACACGCTGTGCTTTATTACAGTTCTCACTGACTTCTCAGCAAGTGTGGAAGAGATCCCACAAAGTACTGTGGGCATTTATCTGGAGGGTGGGATGAATGGATGTGTTAATCTCCTAATTAACATATGATTTTATAAACTTAGGAGTATAGAATTCTATCTTTTAGTATAAGGGTGTATAAAATCCTCAACATATAAATGTTAACTTGGGGCTGAGGAGACAGCTTAACGGGTAAAAGCTCTTGTTACGCAAGCCTGACAACTTCAACCTTTATCCACATCAGTCATGAAAAAGCCATTCATGCACCTGTAACTTCAGCACAGGTGGATTCTGGGAGATTGCTAACCAGCCAGAATAACCAGAGCTATGAGTTTCAGGTTCAGTGAGAGATTCTGTCTCAGAGAATAAAATGGAGCAGGACAGACCAGAACACCTAACATTCTCTTCTGGCCTCCTGATGGGTAGGTACACCAATACATGAGCACATGCATCTTGCACACAAAAATACACTATACACACACACACACACAAATACACATATTCACACACACCAAAAAGCACAATATCTTATTATTAATAGGCCCTCAGTTGCATCCTAGCACTATAAAGAAAAAAAGCAGAGAAGAAAAATTAATAGGGAACCAACCTTTGGAAACAGAGTAGTCTGTCTCATCTGCTATTTACAGGGGAAAAAGTCATCTAAAAGGATGGTCATCCTTTAGTAATTTTTATGTTAATAATTTGGGGCATACACATCTCAAGTATTGTCTGGAATTGCCAACACTTTCTAGGAGGCATTTTATGAATGCTACTTGTGGAGGCCAATCTGAAAGTCATCCAGGAGAGGCTGGTACAGTTTTCCCATGTCAAGAGAATGATTTCTTTTTCCTCCAGTTAAAACAGGAAGTTTCTGCATTATCTTTATTGCATTTGAAATCTTTTTTTTTCTTTTTCTCTTTTAGTCTTTGCATCAAAAGAAGCTGCAAACATCTTTATGCACCGCCGCCTCCTGTACAATAGGTTTGACTTAGAACTCTTCACGCCTGGAGACCTGGAGAGAGAGTGCTATGAGGAGTTCTGTAGTTATGAAGAAGCCAGAGAGATTTTGGGGGATGACGAAAATACGGTAAGTTGTCGAGTGATGTCAATCATCTGGAAAGTTACTTCATTATACTTTGAGAAAATGGTACTAAATACATTATAGACCTGTGTGCTTTTTTTTTAAGAATTATTTTTTATTTTATTTATGAGTACAGTATAGCTGTCTTCAGACACACCAGAAGAGGGTATTGGATCCCATTACAGATGGTTGTAAGCCACCATGTAGTTGCCAGAAAATGAACTCGGGACCTCTGGAAGAGCAGTCAGTGCTCTTTTTTTTTTTTTTTAAGATTTATTTATTTATTATATGTAAGTACACTGTAGCTGTCTTCAGACACCCATATGAGGGCATCGATCTCATTGTAGATGGTCGTGAGCCACCATGTGGTTGCTGGGATTTGAACTCATGGCCTCTAGAAGAGCAGTCAGTGCTCTTAACTGCTGAACCATCTCTCCAGACCAATCTGTATACTTTAAATAAAATCAAAATCGTATGCCTATTACCTCTTTCCATTTCTTTTTTTTTTTTTTTAAAGATTTATTTATTTATTATATATGAGTACACTGTAGCTGTCTTCAGACACACCAGAAGAGGGCATCAGATCTCATTACAGATGGTTGTAAGCCACCATGTGGTTGCTGGGATTTGAACTCAGGACCTCTGGAAGAGCAGTCAGTGCTCTTAACCACTGAACCATCTCTCCAGCCCCCCCTCTTTCCATTTCTTAAAATGCTACATAAGCTTCTTTAGAGTTGGCTTTGTATATGTAATTAGCTAGGTTTATAGTAATTAGCAAATTGTGGGTTATACTGTAATTTTGTGTTTAACATTTAAAAATTTATTTACCTATCCATCTATCCATCTATCTATCTATCTATCTATTTATTTATTTATTTATTTATTTATTTATTTATTTTGCGACATGGTCTCTTTGTATAGCTCTGGATATCCTAGAACTTCCTATGTAGACCAGGCTGGCCTCAAACTCACAGAGATCCTCCTGCCTCTGCCTTCAGAGTGCTGGTATTAAAGGTGTGCACCACCACCATGCCTGACTGTGTGTTCAATGTTTATTATATTCAAAAATAGTCTCAGGGCAGGTGGATTTTAATTCAAGATGCTATTTGGGCCGGGCGGTGGTGGTGCACGCCTTTAATCCCAGCACTTGGGAGTCAGAGGCAGGTGGATTTCTGAGTTCGAGGCCAGCCTGGTCTACTGAGAGAGTTCCAGGACAGCCAGGGCTACACAGAGAAACTCTGTCTCGAAAAAACAAAAACAAAAACAAAACAAACAAACAAACAAAAAAGATGCTATTTGAAGATGGCTCAGAGGCTACAGCACTATAGATAGCACATGCCCCTGGTTTCCACCCCCAGCAACATCACTAAGACATTATTGGAGTTAGTTCTCTGACTAGAAGCATCAATTACTTAAAACTCAGCACAGTTTCTCCTCTTAGTAATCTTACCTTTTTTTCATTGCCCATATCTATAGTTCAGCTATTTATTGATAATCCCCTATGTGCAAGCACTCAGGATGTTATGTGGTTTTTAAAAAAGATTTATTTCATTTATGTATATATATGTGTCTGTGTGAGCATGTGTATCCATGCACATATATGTGCATATGGGTATCTGTGTACACATGGCTAGAAGAGTGTCAGATTCCATGGAATTAGAGTTAAAGGTATTTAGGGAATGTGCTTCTTATTGTCTGCATACTGGGATCTGAACTCTGGTCCTCATGATTGCACAGCAAGCTCTCTCAGCCACCGAGCCATCCTAGCCTCTGGTACTGAGGATATAAGGTGGGCCCTGGTGACAGGATTTCATTGATTATCTATATCATTTAAGGGAGGAATTTTTTTTTTTGAGTTGGGGGTCTCAGTAAGTGGAGAGCCTCCTGCCTCTGCCTCCTGAATGCTGAAATTTAAAACATGTACCACTATACTTAGCCTAAGGGGGGGACAAAAAAAGACTCTTTTAAAAATGAATTCCCATTTTCCTTTAATATATATGAGTGTTTTATCTGCATGTACATCTATGTTTGCTGGTGCCTGGATGTCAGATGAGGATTTCCTAGTTCCCAGTTATGGATGGTTGTGAGACAGTATGGTTACTGGGAAGTGAAACTGGGTCCTCTGCAAGAGCAACAAATGCTCTTAATCCACTGAGCCATCTCTTCACAGTGTGGTTACTGGGAAGTGAACCTGGGTCCTCTGCAAGAGCAACAAATGCTCTTATCCACTGAGCCATCTCTTCATCTCCAAATGTTTTAAAGTTGTCCACTAAACTATAATGAAAGCCTGCCTGTTAACCTAGGTAATATAGAAAACGGATAGGTAACATGGCGCCTAACATGGAGTCTTCTAGAGGAATGTAAAGTGCTTTGCTTTCTCTGTATGTAAATAATGCCAGGCCTGCTCTCCTTTCTCCGGCATCCATCTTTGCTCTTTACTGAATAAGAAGCTCCCTGGGGATCCTTCAGTTGCACAGTGAGGGTCCCTAGTTATTCGTTCTTCCATAATCCTTCCCAGCCACTCATTTCCTGCAAATATTTACTACATGTATCAAGGTGGGAAAATAAAGAATATTCTCTCTAGCCATGCCTGGGATTTAATGATGTTTTTCATAATTAAGAAAAATAGATTTTCTAATTTAATCATGGTTCCTCAAAAAACAAAGGACCCAGAACTTAAACTGCCTCAGAGATAACTTTGCAAGTCAGTAAAGTCAACTATCCTAGCAAACCACATCCTCAGTGCAGAAAATCATCCTCAACTTCTCCATTTGGTACCCTTGCTTCCTCTCAAATGTGACAGTCCCCTGTCTTAGAAAGAGCCCCAGCTGGGTAAGGCATGGAAATGGAGAGCTGAAACTGGCAACAGTCCCTTCACCAGTTAACCAGACAGCAGAAAGGGCAGAATGAGTCACTCCCTTCGACTTGAATGGACTGGTGTCCTACCTGTGTCACATGTCGAGAGCTTACCACCTCAGATCTAGGTCACTGGGAACAAAAGAAACCATGATAAATTATATAAACAAAATTTTCATCTTTTCTTCCTAGATCACATTTTGGCGGGATTATTCAATTAAAGGACCAACCACAGGATCAGGTAAGGCGGAGAACCACAGACAAGTAATGCTTTCCTCACCTTTCCCCTTGGTAATCCATTTTAGTTTTAATGTTTGAGTTTGGCTATTGCTCAACATGCATATCAAGCAAGGACGGTTTCTCAATTATATGCTGGACTGTGTGAGACAGAAGGCTACCTTCATCTGTTTACACACTGAAAATCAAGTTTGGTGAGATAGTCGGGAAATGAGCTAATGCACACAAAGGTGTTTTAAGCAGCTCAGCAAAGTTAAAACTTGCACAAAAGTAGGGCTCTGTTAGTTAGAAACTTGTATCACTTTTTCTTTTGTTACTATTACAAGTGAACAGAATACCTATGATAGGTAAATGAGATTGCTGGATAAGGTTCAAGATAGGGCCGTGACTGCAGCTTCAGTTATAGAGTGTCTCACACACGTAACACACACACACACACACACACACACACACACACCTTAGCTGGTACAGAGCTTGCCTGAAGCCTCAGGTTTGAGCCTCAAAATGGCATAAAACTGGATATGGTGGTGTACACCTATAATCTCATTGGTTGCCTTCATCAGCTACATAGTGAAGCCTGGGCTCTAGAACACCCCACTGACCTTGGGGACAGGGAGAAGAGGAGGACCGAAGATCTATCTCAGCAGTAAGCTACATGTCTAGCATGTACAAAAGTCGGGGTTCAATCTTTGGTATGAAAAAGAAAAAAAAAAACACAGGAGGAGAGTGTTAGAATTGAGTAACTTCTGGAGAAGGGAAAGGCTTCATTTTGTCTGTGTTGGTCATCTCAAGCTGCCTTCTTTTCTTTTTAATAACATGATATGGAGCTGGACAGATGGCTCAGTGGTTAAGAGCACTGGCTGCTCTTCCAGAGGTCCTGAGTTCAACTCTCAGAAACCACATGATGGCTCACAACCATCTTTAGGGAGATCTGATGCCCTCTTCAGGCAGGGAGATGTATATGAAGCAAAGCACTCATACATCAAATAAATAAAATTTAAAAATTTTTTGATACATAATATTTGTACCTATTTATGGAATACAGTGTGGTATTTTAATGCCCGTATATGATGAGCAGTAATCAAATCAGGGCAATTAGCATATGTATCACATCAAACATTTATCATTCATTTGAACTGACAATATTCAAATCTTCTATTTTGAAATATCCAGTAAGTTATCAACAATAGCTACCCCACCATGCTACAGAACAGTAGAATTTCCTGGTCCTATCTGATTATCATTTTGTTCTTGCTAACCAGTTGTTGTTGTTGTTGTTGTTTTAATGCCTTTCACCCGTTTCCCCTTCTATCCTCATTTTGGTCATTTATTTAATTAATCTTGCCCCTGATTCTTTCATTCATCTTAGATAGGCTCCTTCTGTCAGAGACTATTACAAGGTTGCCTAATAAATGTACCAAAATGTATTCAGCTGAGCAAAGTACATGCTTACCCCACTTACTGTTAGATATTATTCACATAGCATGACCTGTTTAAATAAACAAAAGAATTAGGTATCTAAGAAATACCATTTAAGAGCTGGCAAGATGGCTCAGTGGGTAAAGATTCTTACCATGAAACCTGAATTCAACTCTCAGGGCTTACATGGTAGAAGGAGAAAAATCAACTCTCGAAAATTGTTCTCTGACATCCACACATGGGCCATTAAAGAGCATTATCATTTATATTTTTTCAGGTAGATTCTCTAGCACTCTAACACAAAGACTTTAAGATAAATCAGTATTGCCTGGCCTTTAATCCTAACACCACTCAGGTAGGCAGAAGCAAGCGGTTCTGAATTTGAAGCCAGCCTTGTCTACAGAGCGAGTTCCAGAAAAGCCAGGGCTACACAGAGAAATCCTGTCTCAAGAAACAAAACAACAAAAAGTCAGAAAAGAAAGAAAAATAAATAAATAAATTAGTTGTCAATGATGAGAATCTTCTTAATAATGTGTTAAATGTATTGAAAGTATGGATGATGCTACTAATTTATTTTAATGTTTTTTTTAAAGACGTTAACAAAGAGAAAATTGATGTTATGAGCCTTCTGACTGGATTCATTGTTGCTGTAGTACTCTTGGTTGTTTTGGGCTTACTTATTTACTACCTGTGTATCACCAAGTGTAACAGGCAGCCATATCCAAGGTAAGTCAAAATATTAAATTCATTAGTATGCATTCTGTATTGTTATTTTTAAGTAGATCAAACTGACAGCTTTTTGTTTTTAGGTCTTTACAATAATCTTAGATAATCAAGAAGATTGCATAGACAGTACAGAGAATTTTCATACACCCTTTACTCAGTTTCTCCCATTATTTCCAAATATGTTACCATTGTTGTACCAAAACTAAGCAAAGAGTGCCAGAGATATGGCTCAGTCAGTAAAGTCCATTCTGCACAAGCATAAGACCTGAGTTCAGATTACCAGCAACAAGAAAAGCTTAGTGTGGCACCATGAGCTTCAGCTTCAGGGAGATGGGGACAGAGACTCCATAGGACTTGCCAACCTGGCTTAATCAGCAAGTTCCAGTTCAGTGAGAGACCTTGCTCAAAAAAACAGTGAAGAGTAACTGAGAAAAACACTGATGTTGACCTCTGACCTACACACACATACACACACACACACACACATTCTAACGTCATCACTAACAAAACTAAATTTGAATTTTCCAGTTTCTGTTACTGTCCACTGTACTCCAGGCTCCGGGCCAGTTAAGGCTCTATACTACACTTAATGGTGTCTTCCCAGACTCTAGGCTGACAGATGTTTGGTGTTTTAACATCCACATTAATAACCTGGAGATGCTATTACAAGGTGTTTTTTTAATGTATTTATTTATTTATTTAGTGTGTAGGTGGGCACCTGTAAGTCATGACAAACATATGCTAACGATGCTATTTCTACAAGCCTTCAAAAGAATACAAGATCTAGGTGTAGCCGCTCATAGCTACAATCCCAGCACTTGGCAGGCAGGGGAAAAGGATCCAAGCTCAGTACCGATCTGGACTACATGCCGAGACCTGTCTCAAAAATTCAAAGACTGGAGCCGTAGCTCGGCAGCAGAGCACTTGCCTCTCCTTTCCACACCGCCATCCCATTATTTTCAGAAACAGAAACTAACTTAATAGGTCTGTGTGGCAGAGACTATTTAATTCAGAGACTAGAGGTGTGTGACTCAGTTGGTAGAGGGCTTGCCTAGTGTGCAAGAAGCCCTGGGTTCCATCCCCAGCACCACATACACCTGGTGTGGTGGCACAAGCCTACAAATGACCAGCACTGGGCAGGTGGAGGCAGGAGAATCAGAAGTTCAAGATAATCCTTTGCTATGTAATAAATTGCATGCCAGTCTGGGATATATGACGCCTTGTTTTAAGGGTAGGAGGTGGATGGGAACCTATTATTGATGCCTTAAAATTAGTAAAACAAAATTATTATCAACTAAGGATACGTCGTGCATTAACAGCGATTGATAAGGTTTCATAGGAACTGTAAATATTTGCACAACAATCTTGGTTAGGGTTTCTTCTGCTGGGATAAAACACCATGACCAAAAGCAACTTGAGGAAAAAAAGGTGTATTTGGCTTACAAATCCTGGGTCACAGTCTATTGAGGGAAGCCAAGGCAAGGAACTGAAGCAGAGGCCATGGAAGAACCATGTTTACTGACTTGATTGCCATGGCTTGCTCTGCCTGCTTTCTTGTAACATCCAAGACCATCTACCTAGGGCTGGCACCACCCACAGTGGGCCAGGCCCTCCCGTATCAATCATCAGTCAAGAAAATGCCCCACGGACTTGCCAGCTGATCAGTCTGATAGGGGCATTTTCTCAGCTGAGCTTCCGTCTTCTCAGATGACTGTAGATTGTGTTGAGTTGACAAAAGCTAATCAGCACAGTTGCTGAACATCTTAATGATTCAGTGTGAAAACATTTTTAAAAGGAATACAAGGTGTTAAGGGAAAGCTGCTAATATTGATGCTTGTAGATTCTTGCTTACACTTTTAAGTCCGTGAAGACACTCATGTTGAGGACCACATTTCCTTCTCTCACTGCTAGAAATTGAAACCAGGCCCCAGACATGTGAAGCCAGTGCCCTACACTGACAACCCTCTCCCTAACCGGTTACAGACGGAAGACTTTCGTTCACTTTAAAAGATGATTATATGATTCAGGTCTAAATGCAGATAATGTGTAGTGGAAGAATATTCAACTAGAAAGCAGAAGGCAAAGGTTCTCATGTTAATTCTGTTACTGTTTAATATAATTACGGATCTTAAAGCAAATCCTCCCCCTCACCTTCTTTGTTATTTGAGACATTATCTCACTAGGTAACCAATGCTGGCCTCAAACTCTGCGTGTATCCCATGTGGGCCTTGAATTAATAAACCCTGAATTCTGGAATTACAGACATCCCTCTAAGCCCCACTAAATTCTACTAAATTATTTTTATTTTTGTGTATATGCTTATTTGCATGAATTTATGTGTACCACATAATGCAAGTGCCTGAGAATGCCCAAGGACACTGGATCCCGGAGCTGGGGCTATAGGCAGCTGTGAGCCACCTGATGTGAGTGCTGGGAACCAAACCCCAGTGCTCTGCAGGAGCAGTGTGCTCTCCTAATGGCTGAGCCATCTCTCCCGCCCCTTTTGTGAAGCTGATGACTCCTCTACATTTACATGGGATTTGTGGCTCAGATTTATGTCCTCAGGCTTTAATAGCACGTGCTTGTCACCCCACAGGTCTGGTCAGGAATGATTGCTGACTGACTGATTAAATGACTGAGACAGAGATTCAGGGGGAAATTTTTTTCTCATCTCTGAAATTAACGAGAAAAAATAACCCCTGATTCCTCTTAAAGTTTCATAATATCTTTTTCGTTTGTCAGTTTTCTGACTTTGTTTGTTTGTCAGAATTATTACTTTAAAAGTTACTTATTGGAGCTGGAGAGATGGCTTAGAGATTAACAGCACCGGCTACTCTTCCAGAGGACTTGAGTTCAGTTCCCAGCACCCATGATAGTTCACAATCATCTGTAACTCCAGTTCTAGAAGATCTGATGTCCTCTTCTGATTTCTGAAGGCACCAAGCACACACATGATACACACACATACACACACAAACACACACACACACACACACACACACACACACACACACACACAAATAAATAATGTTTTAAAATCTTAACAAAGTAAAAATTAAGTAAATAAACAAAAATTCTGGCTGGGCAGTGGTAGCGCATGCCTTTAATCCCAGCACTTGGGAGGCAGAGGCAGGCGGATTTCTGAGTTCGAGGCCAGCCTGGTCTACAGAGTGAGTTCCAGGACAGCCAGGACTACACAGAGAAACCCTGTCTCGAAAAACCAAAAAAATCGAAAAAACAAACAAAACAAAACAAAACAAAAAACAAAACTGCTAAACAAAAATTCTGGAATGAATGCCTTTAATCCTAATACTTGGGAGACAGAGACAGTGGATCTTTGTGAATTCAAGGCTAGCCTGGTCTACATAGTGAATTCTAGGTCATCTATGATTACATAGTGAGTCTCTGCCTCAGTCGGTTAATAAATCAGTCTATCATTCCTGACCAGATCAGTGAGATGGCCATCTAATAAGCACGGGCTGCAAAAGCCTAAAGACATAAATCTGGCCCACAGAACCTACGTAAAGGTAGAAAGGCCATTAACTTCACAAAGGTCTTCTCTGACCTCTATATGTATGCTGTGACACGCATACCCACCCACATCATACATCCCCTACACATCATCATCAAATTTTAATTAAAATTGAAATAACATAAAAATAACAAATACAGCTGGGCAGTCCCAGCTCTGTGGAGGCAGACTCAGGTGGGTCTCTTCGTTCGAGGCCAGCCTGGTCTATAGAGTGGGTTTCAGGAAAGCCAGGGCTACACAGTGAGACCCTATCACAAATAAGTACATAAGTAAAAACTTTTTTTAAATCTCGTAATTCTGTTTTAGAAATAACCACTGGACTGGAGACATAACTCAGTCAGACTCTCATAAAAGCATGAGAGTCTGAATTCGACCCCAGCACCCATGTAAAAAGCCAGGATGTAGCCACAGGATGTTTACACTCACACCCCAGTGACTTGGAGGCTTATTATTAATTAATAAATGCCTAGGCCTTAAGCTAGGCTTGTTCTCTGACCAGCTTGTAACTTAAATATCCAGTTTATACTATTCTATGTCTGCCACATGGCTAGTTACCTCTCCTCTGTGTCACACATCTGACTTCCTCTGGATGGCAAATCTCCCGCTCCTGACTCTTTCCCAGAGTTCCTTTCTCTCTGCCAGATGTACCACCTTCTAATCATGCCTCAGCTTATTGGCCATCATATTTTAATTCTGACCAGTCTGAAGGTGCCATAGGCAGGCAAGGAAGGACAGAGACACGGCCAGGGCTATACAGAGAGACCCTGTCTTAAGCAAATAAACAAAAATACCCCAAAATGGATGACTCCAGAGAAACAACATCCAAGTTGTCCTCTGGTCTCCACACATATATGCACACATGTACATGCACATTTGCATATATACATACACAAGTGAAAAAGAAAAGAAAAAAGAAAGTATTATTATGGATTTGGTGTGCATTCTTTATGTTCTCATTTGCAACTTAATTTTGTTATTTACAGTAATACAATTGAAATGCATTTCTATAGTAGTGTTGTATATAAAACAAAATCTCTCCTCTTTATTTGTAAGTAGGTTGTTCAGGTTGTTCAGAATTCATCTCACTCACATGACTCTTCAGTTCCATATCTGTGAACCCAGCCACTCCCTATCTCCTGCTCAAGTCCCCAGCCAAGCTCAGAGCCATCCTACCTTCCGCCTCTGTGAATTTTACTCCTGTGACCGCACACAAGTGCCATCACACAGTATTAGTCTGACTGGTTAATCTGGTGCGGCATTTTCAAAAGACTGAACATCTCTTTGTAAATTTGCATTCACCACTTGATTTACGTATTCTGGTGCATTACTCGAAGATGTGATTCCTTCCTCAAACAACAGCAGTCTTAGACCAGTGTTTGTTTCGGAAGGACACTAAAGTGTATTATTCCAGTCCTAAACAGGACGTGAAAGCATAGGCGCTGGAATGCCAGTGTTGAGAGTTGAGTGCATAGTTGACTAGACCTTTGTCCTTGGATGTGTTACTTCCATGTCCATTAAAGCACTGTGCTGCATGGTTCCACTGGAGCAGCATTTACACAAAGACGTGTGAATGGTGCCGTTTGGTAATGTTCAGTGTGTCGGTCGGATCATTGGCATATAGTACTGAATAAGTATTAGCTATTGTTATTACCATTCATTTGTCAACTCAGGTTGTTCCAAAAGTTTGAGAAACAGTGTTCCTACCTTCCCAGGTAGTGTTTGTGCTTTTTTAAAAAAAAAAAAAAAAAATAGCTTCCAGACCAGGTATACAGCTCAATGGTAGAACACCAGGATAACACTTGTGAGCCCTGGCTTCAATTCCCAGGATATAAATAAATAAGTAAGCAAATAAATAAATAAATAAATAGTCCTTAAAGCCCTGAGTTCAATACCCAGCACCACAGAACAACCAAACACAAAACCAGCTCAGAGCTTGGACTGATTGTATAGATTTACCCAGCATTCATATGTTCGCATGAAGTTAAAATTGAGATGTATCATAAATAAGTTCTTTTTAGACTCAGCAGATAACAAAATATTGACTAATGAATCTGCTTCAGTCCCTGTGTAACTAACTTTAGCCCTGCTGGTCACGAGCTGTGTGTTGCTATCACTAGTGTCCACATCTGAGCAATGTGTTCTGTAGTTTTCAAAAGTGAGGGAGACCTCTTCAAAGAAGACATGGAGTGATTACTATTTGGTTAAGGTTAAGGCAAGAGAGAGACAGAGAGAGTCCAAATTTAGACATATGAAAGGACTGGGTAATTTCAGCTTGAGGAAGATGGTGACAAGTAAACCCTCCATGTAGCAAGAGGAATTAAAAGAAGGCTTCTTTTTTGGCAACTGCTTTTGAGAACACAGTAATCTTTTGCATCCTGGGAGCACGGTTCTTGAATAATACACAGTGGAGCAGGAAGAACCTGTAGGGTAGAGGAGCATCCATCGAGGTGCTGGCGTGGGACTCCCAAGGGAGGTCAGGAGTCTGGACTTGTCTCTGAGAGAAAAGAAGCTGTGAGACTCAGTGGCTGGTAGAAAGCTGGAGGAGATGCAGGGAGAATGTGAGTTCTGACTTGACTTCTGGCTGAAGGACTGCACATGAAAACTCAGGGGGGAAATGAAATTTGGATTTGGCAGAATAAAATAATATTTTATATTAAAGATTTTAAAGATAGCTCAAGAGGGCCTGAAGAGATGGCTTAGCAGTTAAGAGCACTGGCTGCTCGTAGGAAACAAAACAGTTTTTTTTTTTTTTTAAAGTAGATTCAGGAAAAGTACAACAAGTGACAACCTGTAAAAAGATGCTTGAGCTGACATTTCTCCAAAGGGGACAGACAAAGGTCCAACAAATACCAGAAATGACATAGAGCATGTTGGGATTACACATGCCTGTGCTACTGTGTCTGGGAATCCAAACTCAAGTTATCAGTGTTTCAAGACAAACTGGCACTAATTAAACCAACTCCCCAGACCTAAGTTAACTGTCTCTTAGTGGGAAAAATACTATAGACATGAGTTAGAGGTTAGTCAAAAATGTCTCTGAATCTTAATTCTTTTATTACTCTTGATTACAGGATGTTAATTTATGAATTGATACTTTCTAGTCAGCCAGCTTGACAGTCTAAACAGCTCAATTTACTAACATTAAATTGTAGTTTGTAGACAAGCAAGATGGCTCAGTAGGTAAAAGCACTTGCCACTAATCCTGATGGCCCAAGTTCAGGCCCAAGTTGAGATTTACATGGTAGGAGAAGAGAACCGAATGAGAAAGTTGTCCTCGGACTTCCACAAGTGTGAACTCTGTGTGTGTGTGTGTGTGTGTCTGTGTGTGTGTCTGTGTGTCTGTGTGTGTGTGCAGTTCACAGGGGAGAATGGAAAGGCATACATTGAAAACATCAGACCCAAGTGGCGTTTTAGCTTTCACTAGCTGAAAAGGTTTTATGAAATGATTTGTTGGGTATAGTGGTACAAATCTGCAATTCTAGAACTGGGCAGGGGGATTGCCAGTTTAAGATGAGCTATAATACTGAGTTGAAGCCAAGCTCAGCAACCTGGAAGGAAGATCCAGAATTTTGAAATGACTAGAGAAGGTAGCTCAATGGCGTAGTACTTATCTAGTAGCATGCCCAAGACTCTGGGTTCAATCCCAATATAGAGAGAAGACAGAAGAGGAGGGCTAGACTTGAACAAAGACTTTTTCAGAGCTGAGAGTCAAACCCAGATCTTTACACACACTAGGCTATTGCTTTAGTATGTACTTGGCCAAGAAGTACAGAACGACAGCTTTTCCACAATGGAACAATGCCAGTCAAAGGCACAGAGTACTTTACTGGGGGTGTAGCTCAGTTGATAGGTCTCTTGCCTAAGCATTCATTCATAAAGTCAATTGTTCAAACCCTGGGACTGCATGATTAAAGCATGGTAGTATATGCCTATAATCTCAATACTCAGGAGGTAAAGGCAGGAGTTCGAGGTCATCCTTAACACCTAGTGAGTTTGAGGCCAGCTTGAACTACAGTAGGCCCTGGTTCAGGAAAAGGGACGGGGGCCGGGGGGGGGGGAGAGGAGACAAGGGGGGGGGGGGGGGGGAAGGGAGGAGAGAGGAGAGGAGAGCAAAGGAAAAGAAAGGAAAGGAAAGGAAAGAAAAGGAAAGGAGAATAAAAGAGACAAAAAGAGAGACTGGGAATTCTACTTAACAGAGAAGAAAGCTATGAAAAAATATGGTGAGGCCAGAGTAAAGGAGGCGTTGAGAGGAGGATTCAGGAGTTCCATAACCATGGAAAGTGAGCCATTTCTATACTGCAAGACAGAATACTGCTTGGGAAGAGTTAAAGGTCAACCGGGCGACATGGCTGCAGAGACGACCTCTGTGGCATTTGTTTCCTTGGCTTGGTGTCATGTCACCTCACAAAGCCTGGATTTGATTTCAGGAGCAAGGAAAAACAGGATTCACTCTGCTGGAAGCCTTACATCAAACACCCTACTCAGTCCACCCCAACTCTGTGGAGGTAGCTTTATTATCCCCATTTTAGAGAGAAGGAAACTGAGTCAGGGAGCTTGACTTTGATCAGGGATGACTGAATATAGTTTCAGCACCACATCTGACCTGAGACTTCAAAGCTCTTAGAGCTTCTGTTATACCAAGTAGTAGAAAGACTACTTTGGGTTCCCTGATGTAAAGTAAACCCATTGTGACATTAATGAACTGGGTTCTACATTTATCAAAAATAGTTGGGTTTTTTGGTTTGTTGGTTTGGGGTATTTTGTTTGGTTTTGGGTTTTGGTTTATTTTCATTTTTTTTTGTTGTTGTTGTTGTTTTGTTTTTGTTTTTTCGAGACAGGGTTTCTCTGTATAGCTCTGGCTGTCCTGGAACTGACTCTGTAGACCAGGCTGTCCTCGAACTCAGAAATCTGCCTGCCTCTGCCTCCCAAGTGCTAGGATTAAAGGCGTGCACCACTACCGCCTGGCTGGTTTATTTTCAAAATAGGGTTACTCTGTTACTTACTTTGTAGGCTGATCTCAAACTCAGAGATCCTCCTGCCTCTGCCTTGAAAGTGCTAGGATTAAAAGTTTTTAATGCCATGCCCAGCTGGATTTAAAAAAAAAATAAGACAAGGCCTCATGCATACAAGGCTGGACTTGAATTTGCTATGTAGCCAAGGATGGCCCCAGCTCTTCTATCTTCCAAATGTTAAGGCCACTATGCTCAGTTTAGGATTTGTATCCCCTCAGCTCCCATACCATCCCTTCCCCTCAGCTCCCATACCATCCCTGTGTGTGTGTGTGTGTGTGTGTGTGTGTGTGTGTGTGTGTGTGTGTGTGTGTGTTTAGGGGGGTGATCATGGATATGTGCACATGTGTGTTGGTTCACTCTCATGTGTGGAGGCCACAGGTCAAAGTCAGATGACTTTCTCCGTGCTTCTCTGCCTTATGTTTTGACACAAGATCTCTTGCTAAAAATGAGCTATAGGGAGACTTGTCTCAAACAATCAAACAAAAATTTCTAAACTGGGACTGGGAAGATGGGTCAGTGGAGGAAGGTTTGCCATGAAAGTGCATGCACCTAGTGTTGCACATACATACATACATGCAGGCAAAGCAGTCATACACATTAGATAAATATAAATAAATGTATTTAAAAGTTGAGCATGGTAGTGCATGTTTATAACTGTGCTGAGGAAGTAGAGACACTGGATCCTGGTTACAGTCTAGCTAAAATGGTGAGTTTTGTTTTTCTTTTCTTTTTACTTGAGACAGGGTTTCTCTGTGTGGTCCTGGTGCCCAGGAACTCTGTAGACCAGGCTGGCCTTGAACTCACAGAGATACATTTGCCTCTGTAGTGGTGTGCCTGGCAAGGTTTTGATTGACTGATTGACTGATTGGTTGATTTAGGCTTCCCAGACAGAGTTTTTCTGTGTAGCCCTGGCTGTCCTAGAACTCACTCTATACACTAGGCTGGCCTTGAATTCAAGATCTGTCTACCTCTGCCTCCTGAGTGCTGGGATTAAAGGCATATGGCACCATAGCATGGCTTCTAGAATTTTTTAGTGTCATTATGTTAATCAAGAAATTCACCTCTCTTAAACCTAAATGTCATCTCTCTGTTTAGCTCTTCAGCTGTATACACAAGAACGGCCAGATATACACCCTCCATCATTTTCAGAACACCTGAGGAATCTGTCTTGTCTCCATCACCATCTTCAGAGGATACAGGACTACCTTCCTATGAACAGGCAGTAGCACTGACCAGAAAGCACAGCGTCTCACCACCACCTCCCTATCCTGGACCTGCAAAGGGATTTAGGGTATTTAAAAAGTCTATGTCACTCCCGTCTCACTAAGCCTACCTGGCTGCCTTGCTGGAAGACATTCGTTTCTGTGCTTGAATTCTTTGTTCTCCCTGAGGAGAAAAAAAAAAAAAAAAAAGATTTGCTTGTTCAGCTTTTTATGACACACCACAAGGAATAAAGGAATGATACATCCAGAGCAGAGCTCACTGCAGCTCTGCTGTCATCTTGGACCTGAGCTGGCTTGCTATCATCTTGGTAAGAAACTTCAACTCCATTACCTTGAAGTTAAGAAGAAAGTGCCTTTTGCAATGTGTACTGTACTGGTTCAAAAATCTTTGCTGTAGCTGGATAATATGATATGTTCCTACAAACACTCAGGAGGCTTAGGGGGGAGGGATGAGAGTTCAAGGCCAGCCTGGGCTCTGTCAATCCCTGTCTCAAAACACAGTTTGTTATTAATAGAATAATTAGAATTAACCAACCAGGAACTGTCAATCTTAAATCATGAGATTGGATCTTCTCTTCCTTAGGATTTCTTTTTGGTTGAAAATACTTCATAGGCTTTGATGGTTTGCTATAAGTCTGTGGTCTTGATATAGTCACTTGAGTTTCTGTTTTAATCAGTGCAGAGCATTCATCCAACTTGCAGGTGTTAATTTTTCACTCACTCACTATCAATCACTGTTATGGTGTCAAGAGGTTTCGTTTGTTTGTTTGTTTTTGTTTTTTAAAAATTACTATTCATGGACTAAGGGGATGCCACACTTGGAAAGTGCCTGTCATACAAATATAAGAACCTGAGTTCAATCCTCATTAGCCATGTTTGAAACAAATAAGCAACAACAAACAAAACGAGCAAACGAGGGAACAAACAAAACAAATTTGAATACTTGGGTGCACACCTGTAATCTCAGCACTGTAGGAGGACTCAGGAGAACGCCTGAGCTTGATAGCTAGCCACAGGAGCTGAATCAGGAACCTCTAAATTCAGTGAAAGACTATCTCAAAAATTAAGGTAGAACCAGTGAGGCGGGTGAATGTCTTTAATCCCAGCAATCGAGAGGCAAAGATCTCTGTGAGTTCAAGGCCAGCCTGTTCTAGTTTGTGAGTTCTAGGACAGCTACAAAGCCTGCCTCAGAAACAAACAAAACCAAAAAACAAGGCTGGGAGGTAGTGGTACACACCTTTAGTCAGAGCACTCAGAAGGCAGAGGCAGAAGGATCTCTGTGAGTTCAAAGAGAGCTTGGTCTACAGAGCTAGTTCCGAGACAGCCAGGGCTACATAAAGAAACCCTGTCTCAAAAAACCATTAAAAAAAAGATTAAGGTGGAAAGCAATTGAAAAAGATACCAAATATCAACTTCTGGCGTCTACATGCACAAGCTTGCATGCATGTGCATACATGCACATACAATATTGAGCTAGAAGTTTAGTAATAGAATGGTAGAGGCAAGTGGTTGAACATTTGCTTTATATGTATGAGGCCCTGGGTTTGAGGTCCCCAGCAGTATCAACTAAAGTCACCAGAAAGCCTTTGCATCTTATGTGCATGGGTGGGGTTTTTTGATCTGTTTGTTTGTTGATTTGTGTGTGTGTGTGTGTGTGTGTGTGTGTGTGCTGTGCACTGGAGATTGAACCAAAGTATCATATATGCTAAGCACATGCTGTACAATTAAGCTAAACTCTCAGTCTCCCTTGTTTCTCCTAGTACATCTTAACACAAAAAAACACATCATAGCTTTAACAGATACTTGTCATAATCATATAAATGACCAGTTCTTCCTTAAGAATGTAGAAGAAGAGCTCAGTGGAAAAGCCCAGGCTCAGCATATGTGCAAGAACCTGGGTTAGATCCCCAGCAACAAAAATGTAGCACATACTCACTAACTTATATGCTTGTATATTTGAGTTCCACTGCTCATTAGCAGTCAAAGAGCCATACTTTTGAAAATTCAACTGAAAAAAAATGTTAAGGGTTTTCTTTGTCTGTTTCTGCCAGACATTTCCCTATTCTTTAAGAGCCTTTATCAATTGTTACTGTGCTTTATAATGTTTATAGGCTTGAGATTGCAATCCTGCTTGCATTTGATGATTCCATCCAAATTAAATATCTAGAAAGTCTACATTGTATTGCAGTGTGTGTGGATGTGAGTGTGTGAGTCCTTCTTTTGTGGCATTGTAATCTGCTGGACCTGGTATAACATAGCAGCAGTTATAACATAGCAGCAGTCTCAATGCTTGGGGGGCAGAGGCATGAGGATCATAAGTTTGAGGTCAGTTAGGCTACCTACTTAGTTCAAGAGTCATCTAGAATAATTAGTGAGACCTTGTCTCAGATAAAACAAAAAAGATAGCATCATCTTCATGAAGGCAGATAAAATGAAGACGTTAGTTGTTAGAGACTAGCAAAGCTTTATCCTTTTACATTTTAGCTGCTTGTCACAAATAGATCATCTACCAACACTTCTATGTAATCAGAAGCACTTTTAAGCCCCTATATCACCGCTAAATTTCTGTTGTTCTTTATATCTTCTTTCCACTGCATCTTTTCCATTATAACAATATGCTTTGCATGTATTTTAATTCTCTTTTCAAAAGGTTACTAGAACTGACTGCTTGCTTTGTAATAATCAGAGTTACGGCATGACTTGCCTAAACTGTACTAGGTTGGTAAGAGCTGAGTTTGTATTGAGCGAGTCCATATATCTAGTCCCATCTCATACTTTACAGAATTTTTTTAAAAGAATTATTCATTTATTTTATGTATATGAGAGTACACTGTAGCCTTCTTCAGACACACTAGAAGAGGGCATCGGATACTATGACAGATGGTTGTGAGCCACCATATGGTTGCTGAGAATTGAACTTAGGACCTCTGGAAGAGCAGTCAGTGCTCTTAACCACTGAGTCATCTCTCCAGCTTTACAGAATTATACTTAGGACAAGTAGAGATATTAAGAGATGGAAGGGACGGAGAAAAAATATATGCTGCTCTTCCAAGGGACCTATTTGTACCGAAGCACTCACATTGGGCCCCTCACAACCACCTAGAACTCTATCCCAGGGGATCCAATGACTTCTTCTGGTCTTTGCAGGCACCTGCATTCATGTGGCATACACTCACACAGACATGTGTGTGCACAGACATACACACACACACATAAATTAAAAACATAGTTTTTTACTTTTTATTTTGTTTTATTTTGGTTTTTTTAAAAGTAGGGTTTCTCCCTGCACCCCTGGTTGTCCTGGAACTCACTTTATAAACCAGGGTGTCCTTAAACTCAGAGATCCACCTGTCTTGCCTCCCAAGTGCTGGCATTAAAGGTATGCACCACCACACCTGGCTTTAATATATATATTTAAAAAGAAATATAAAGTATGTCTTCTTTTAAATTTACAGTGTTGGGGACCACAGCTGGGGCCTTGTCTACCCCTGGGCTACACACACTTCCATACCCCGTATCTCTTACCGAATCCTAATTTGGAATGTTGTATGACTCTCTGAGTCTAACCACAAAGTTAGCTTCAGGACCTGTGACAACCTCCCATTGTCCCACCTTACCTTGATCATCTACCCTGACTTGAAGGGATCGGAAGTCCACCACTCAAACTGTGATGTCGCTGGCTGGTACTCCTACGGCACCAGTGTTGGTGTCATGATACTTTGAACACACACACACACACAAAGCAATAGAACTGTTGTTAACAAGCCCCTGGAAACTGAAGGGGAATTTCTCAGTGTAAAGCCACTGACGTGGATTCTGTTTTGCTAACCTTTTTCTTACCTGTGGTGTTTTGGGTGCTGAATTGTTTCAGGTGATTACTGTAGGGCTTTTGAGTTTGTTGTTTTGTTTTTGCTTCTTCTCCAGAGGATGGATTGGTGCTAAACATTAAATCTGTTTTCATGTAGGTTTTATACATGACTAGACCAGTTTTTCTTTCCGTTGTAATTAGGAAATGAATGGGATATGGCTCTAATAAGATTTGAAAGAAAAAAAGGCATGGTTATAAAACTCTGCATTTGGTAGGACAAAAAAGAGCACAAGCTTCAGCTGTGGGAGTTTTGCTTTCCCTCCTGAGGAAGGAAAGCAGGAGGGAAGCCTAAGAACAATTCACAGCGGCAGACGAACATGGTCTTCTATTTGCCCCAGGACTTTTCTCTTTTGTGTGATGGTGTTGGTACATCAAACTCGTATGTACCAGACAAGGACTTGAGCAGTGAGTTGTATTAGTGTCCTCTTTCCCTTACATTAGTCCCCAAATTTCTAATCAGATTTTTTTCTATTCTCAGATCATTTATTTGTGTGTATACTCCTAAGTGTACAAGAGAATTTTAATGTTAAAGTCTTTACTTGTGCTTAGCAAAAGCTCATATTATTCATAACATTTTTGCTTTAATTAAATATGAGTTAAATTTTACTGGGTGTTTGATCTGAAATGTTATGTATGACACATATAGTATTAGAGAAATATCTAGTATTTTCATCTTTTTTTTTTTTGGTTTTTCAAGACAGGGTTTCTCTGTGTAGCCCTTGCTGTCCTTGGAACTCACTCTGTAGACCAGGCTGGTCTTGAACTCAGAAATCCACCTGCCTCTGCCTCCCAAGTGCTGGGACTAAAGGCATGCGCCACCACTGCCCAGCTAATCATTTTTTTTTTAAAGACTAGATTTTTGGAGACAGGTATGATAGCATATGCCCAGAATACCAGGAAACCCAGACAGATTCAAGGCCAGCCTTGGCTACAGATTAAGATCCTGTCTCATAAATCAAAAAAAAAAAAAAAAAAAAAAGGAAAAAGAGAGAGAGAGAGAGAGAGAGAGTGAGAGAAAGGGAAAAGAATAGGGGAGGGAAAGAAAACCAAAAGTAAACAAACAAAATATTACATTGGGTTGAACAGTGGTAAAATGCACACTTAGCTTACACAGGCACCTGGGTTTGATCCCAACACCAAGTGAGAAGTTTAAATAATGTGCTGAAGAGATAGCTCAGTGGGTAAAGGTGTTTTTTGCCAAAACTGACTACCCAGGTCTCACACAGTTGAAGGAGAGAACTTATTCCTGCAAAC